ATTAGCTCTGAACATTTATTATTCTCTAAAATGAAACTGTTGTGTGCTGATATAAAGAATATTTCAAACAAATTCCTTTAAAGTTTTGTGAAAAGAGTTTCATTTTATGTATCGAAATGTGTAACAAGTGATTATTTAAATCCCCACTGGAAGGCCTCTGACAGAATGAGTGAGCGTAAAATCATTGTTATCGAACAAGTTAAAGGTAAATGATTCAGTATTATTAACAATAAAAGTACTGAAGTACTGAACATCGGATGACTGCAAGTTCTTGTGGATGGTCACAAGCACTTGTCTCAGAAAAAAAAATCACATCTCTATACCTGAAAGTGAGGTTAATGTACAGATATAATTTTTTTCTTAGACAAGTTCGTGCGTGGATGATAAATAAATGACAGGGAATTCAACCTCACCGTAATAAATATGATATTGAAGTGATACAAGTCAGTATACTCTGGTTTGTTGTTATATATTATACTAATATTTGTATATTACAGTTACATGTATATATAATTTTCATCCATTTGTATATCATTCTATTCTACTATATTAATAATAGTGCAGTGCAAGTGCATGGTGGACACTCTTCTGTAATATAGTTCCCTTTAATTAAAGTGTATTTTTTCTTAATTTTTTTCTTTGCCTTTCTCATTGATTTCTTAGTTTTTATGGGGTGGAAGTGAAAGAAGAGAGGTGAAATAAATTTTTGGATGTTGTATTTAAACTGATTTTGATATGGAAAGAGTGATTAGGCCAAGTGCAAAAAGGTAATATTTACAGTTTTCGGAACATCTCTTGACTTGTCGATAGGGGTATGGCTGTGTAGTGGCTAAATTTGTAAGAGTGACTGGTTCAATCTTTCTGAATTTTGGATATATTTTTGGACTAGTACTATACATTACACACACAAAAGATTTGACAAAAATGCATGGTGCAATTTTTTTAATGAGACAAAACGTTATAAAGAACTAATAGAGGAATTAATTGTGGTCTGTGGCCATCTCCCATGCAGAGTTATCGGTTCTGAGAGAGAGCGAGGACCTATAACTCTGCATGGGAGATTGCAAACGTTCTTGAGATATTCTTCCGCATGCGTTAACACACATTTTCTGTACGTGTGTATAGATATTAAAGATTTTTTACTTATATATATATTTCTAACGACAAAACATTTTCATATTATTACTTTTACACTTCAGTTGTATATCATTAATGGCTGATTGATTATCAATGAAAATGAACGGGGTGCATAGATTAAACGGTCATAACTTTTTTGTTACATTGTGTATTTGACCTCCCAACCCCGCGTTTTACAGTATATTCATTTTTACAATTAAAAATGTTTTAAGTTTCAGTTCAGATATATGACTTCTTGCTTCAAAATAAGTTTTAAAATTGAGGTGACATAACCACACAGCCTCCGATGACTTCTTCGTTAAAACGCGATAAAATTGCAATGGGACCTTATTATATAATCAATTTTCTCAACTTATTTAATGTTACTAATATCCTCCCAACCCCTAAAAAGATCGACAACATATTCATTTAAATGAAATCGAAAACCATATCAGTTTAAATATCAAACTTTTTGCTTCAAAATTTGATTGAAAACTTCACAATTTGGCATTCGTTAGCAATATTTTAAAAATGGCAGCCGCTGTTGGAAGTAAACAACGAAACGACATGTATTCATTTAGTTATTAATCAAAAAAGTAATATTTCAAATATTTATTGAAGTGTGTCTTATTGTATTTAAGAAATTTCTTATTTCACCTTTTCTTTAATATATTTATTTGAAACAGTCTCTCGCACTCAAAATAAAGATTTATATGCATTAACGATACAGTTTACATTGACAGCTTGGGCCGACTTGTGAAGTTATATTTTGTGAGATTTTTACGATGAAAATCGAATAAATGTTGGATGCATGCGTTTTCAGTAATTGTCTTACCTTAAAGCAGCATAGAATCAAACATTGTTTCTCTTTGTTAAAGTGAATACATGCTGTTTGTTTTGATAAAATTTTGTAAAAAATGGCGACCAAATAATTTTGAAACGTAGACGATGTTCGACAATAATTTTACCCATGCAAAAAATTCAATTTGATTTCACTGTTAATATTGCAATTAAGTATGACACGTTATTGTCGGTTTAATAATACCCAAGGACATAGCTAGATTAAGGAGATATTAAGGATGTACTTAAGTGAAATTCAAAGAATCAAGAATTTAAAATTGATACTTTAAGTTGGAAGAGCATTAGTTAAGGAACAAAATAAGCTAAAAATATTGATAGGTCATGGAGCTCTTTTTCGAGATATTTTATTTTTAAAATATGGCGGGAAAAGACTGACTCGGACTTTTACCTTATATTTGTATTGGTGTTATTAGTGTCTCAAATCAAAAGAATAAAAATCAAGAATCTGCTTAAATTTTGGCAAATGACCTTTTATGGGCTATTAAGTATTGTATGAAAAGATAAATGGGTGTTATGGGGCAAAATATTTTACATTGTATCGTATGGAAAAAAAACAAGGAGTCCGAAAATCTGATACAAATTCCAAAACCTCACCTAAGTACATCCTTAAGTCATCAACGTGATCAAAGAAAACAAACATGGCACCTAATCACGATGTAAGTTTTGACAAAGACCTTTGTACATGTAGATTAATATTGTTCGATTCTGAATGAAATTATTTTATGCTATTATTTTATATCAATAAAAGAAAACCTCGAATGGATGGTAACCGAGGTGAAATATCTATATTTTTCAATTTTCTAATCATCACACGGGTAACCAGTAAATTTGACGTAATTCTTATTAAACCAGTAACATGCAGAGTTATCGAACGTAACTATGACTGGAATAGTTGCATATGATAATGTCCGCGTATTTATCATGTTTATAGAGCGGTTACAATCCCAACACGAAAGTTACGTAATGGAAATCTAGGCGACAGCAATACACCGGAATGCCCTCACGGTCATCCGATGTGACAAAAGTGCTACGGTTGTCCACTCTGTTATGGGAATATACCTCTAGTTTATTTTGATTTCTTGTATTACTCTTGCTAGGTTCATCTTAGTAATATATTCATTTGACCTTTAAAGCAAAAGGCTTGATTTTGACAGATACATACTGCTTTGGTCTACAATGAATAGTAAATCACTTGACAGAATGAGTTCACGAAGTCATAAAATTTATTTTGGCCAAGTACAAGGAACATCGAGAGTACCTCTATTTTATCATTAGTATAACATTTGCACTTTCATATTTTGCTAAATTTATGTCAGTTATTATATGTACAAACGAGTTACTGAACATTCATCATAACATATTTCAGAAAACCTACCCTATAAACCTTGTTCGAGGAAAAACTACCCTATACACTTTGTTCCATGAAAAACTACCCTATACACCTTGTTACAGGAAAACTACCATATACAGCTTGTTCCAGGAAAAACTACCCTATACATCTTGTTCCAGGAAAAACTACCCTATACATCTTGTTCCAGGAAAAACTACCCTATACATCTTGTTCCAGGAAAAACTACCCTATACACCCTGTTCAATGTTAAACTACCCTATACAGCTTGTTCCAGGAAAAACTACCATATTCCCCTTTTTCCAGGAAAAAAAATACCTTATACAGCTTGTTCCAGGAAAAAATACCCTATACAGTTTGTTTCAGGAAAAACTACCCTATACAGCTTGTTCCAGGAATAGCTACCCTATACACCTTGTTCCAGGAAAATATACCCTATACAGCTCTTACTCAGAAAACTTACCATATATAGATCGTTCCCAGAAAATAGTACTGTATACATTGTACAGCTCGTTCTCCTAAAACCTACCATATATCAGTTCGTTCCCAGGAAACCTACCATATACAGTTCGTTCCCAGAAAACTTACCCTATACGCGCGTTCTCGGAAAACCTACCCTATACAACTCGTTCTCAGAAAACCTACCCTATAAAGCTCGTTCCTAGAAAACCTACCCTATACAGCGCGTTCTCAGAAAAACTACCCTATACAGATCGTTCCCAAAAAAACTACCATATACAGCTCGTTCCCAGAAAACACCCTATACAGCACCTTTTAAGAAAAAAAAATGCTGTATACAACTCTTTATCAGAATAAAATACTCTATAAAGCTCGTTCTCAGAAAACTACCCAACACGTTCCCAGAAAACCTACCCTATACAAATTGTGCTCGCTACTACAGGAAGCTGGCTAAGATAGGAACAGCTGTCGGTTGCATACTGCCACTCAAGAGAGAAAACAAATCAGAAACAATACTCCCTACAGGTTTCATGAAGTCTCATAATATTAAATTTAATTGAAATGACATCTTTGATGTTAATCACACTATTTACATTGGTGTTACTTTCATGTCCATTACAAGCTTTCGCGATGCTTTTTACATGTAAGGTTACTAAAACTATAATATTCTACTTTCTCTGGTCAGTTGTAAAGGAAGACTTAATCACCACAAATAACACTGATTACAGAATGAACTGGTCAGCGATTTCAGTATGATTTCTACCGGTGCCTGAGGACATTATGGTCCGATGAAGAGCTGTCTGGTCAGATATTATTTATTCTTACATCAATCATTTTATTATACGAATAAAGGTGTACAAATATGTATAATATTAACACCTTTATTCATTTTGGTATTCTATTATCGGTAATTTTCTGGCTAATGTAAATTGCATGGGAAAAGCCAAAGCAACGGCTTGCAATTGAAGCAACAGAGTTAAATTGCGGGATAATAGCATATAAATATTCAAATCGCTATAAAAAGATGAAAATGCATGCAACCAAGCTATCTGACTTTCTACTTCTAAAAAACAAAACAAAAAACATATTCGTATTTTCTTTAGTTAATTATTTGTTTTACGTTTAAACAACGACGATGATTATGGTCGAATGTGCCTTATACAATTGATACAGATCGAATGTATCTTATATAATTGATACAGATAAAAACGTTTACCTTAGATAAATCCAAATGGCAACCTTGACCAACTTGCAAGTGGGCCGTTTGGTATACTGCGGAAAGGTCCTCTACCAAATTGTCTTCTAAAAAACAGATTATTATTCAAAAGATCCCCTCTAAGCGCTGAAGGTCCACCACCTCCTCCAAACGATGATTGTAAAAATCGATCGCTTGCAAATAATCCTGTTCCAACTCTTGCATTCGGTCCGAAACCACCACTGAAACGACCAAGAAAACCTCTATTTTGAGTCCTAGTAGGTGTACGCCTTGATGATGTAGACGTTCTTGTGGCTGTTCTATGCGACACTGCAACTCTGTTACACACTAGTCGTCCAGTTCTTGTGCGTCCGCATCTTGTTTTGGTGGCATGATTACAGAGCGCTGTAGTCAGTATCAATAACAGGACGAACAGACGTGCAACACCCATATGATACTGATTCTGTAAAAAATAAAAAAATGTATTACTATATATAAAATTTATCATGACTTTACAAGTGTACATATATATACATATTTAATGAGATATTTTTTGAAATCTTTTCATGTGATTATTTATCTCAAGCGCTATCTATTCATAGAATAATGTTGTGTTAACTATGAGAAAATAGATATAGTAAAGCAAAGGTTACGATCCGAAGCGAGTTCAAATGAGATTACTATTTCACATAGACAACGCTCAATCAAACATTATTCACATTATTATACAGACTGTCAATTTTAACCATACACATATAAAAAAAAATAAAACCCACATCTTCTTTTATTCATATTCATACAACATTTTTATTCAAAGCAGACGACAATGGTGAAATTCTTACATCGAAAGTACTGCAATTATTCCTTCAATAAAGCACTTTGACGACGCATATAACACTTGCAAAAAAAAAACACATACTCACACGAACATATATATTATTGACTATTAACAACAGCTATACTGACTTTTAGGAAATAGAAAGCTTTTCCCGAAATAAATTTATTTTAACACTATGCCAAAATGACGAATTTTCACTTTATCAAAGAACATTTTTACGCAAAGTTTAATGGTAATGGGAGCCATGACTGGTTCGTCAACCGCTAAACATATTGTAATATTTTATATCAATCAAAATAAAACAAATATCCTTGACAGAACAAAAGCTGTTATATTTAAAATTAGAATGTAAGAAATGATATGTACTAAAAGTAATTCCAGTTTGTATTTTACGAAAGCATTGATATCGACGTGTTATAGAAACTCGTTTCTTCTTCATACAAAAAGATAAAAGATTAAAATGAAACGATCATGTCCTACAACATCACAGCCAAAAAGTTTGAAAAGATGAAAATATATGTCTGGTAATTTTTGTCGTTGAAATGGAATTTAATTCATTTCATCAAAGCTTTTGATTTGTTTTGCATTAGTGACATTTTTAGGAAATAAAGACTAAATATAAAACAAGTTGAAACAGGGTAAACATCGAATGATGTTATTCCAAAAGAAAGTGTTCAATATTTACTATACATTCCATATGTACAAACTTCATGTGTGAACTTGAAATTCTATGAGCATTATGTCTGAACATGCGTTCAAGAGAGGCGAAAGATACCAAAGGGACATTCAAACTCATAAGTCGAATTATTAATGTTTATAAGAAACTCAAAATTAGGGGTTTAATAGCTTTTTGATCAAAAAAAAAAAAATTCTAATAAGAAAGAGCCAAAATTCTATTATTCCATTTCAAGAAAAAAATAATTTATTACAAAAAATCGAAATAGTATCAACATAAGAGCTCAATAACATTTCCTTATTTTATGTATAATACATTTTTGTATTGTTGCAAACTCGTTTAAGGATATTATTTCAACACTTTTATATTCCAGCTGCTCAATGTTTTCAACAAATTTTCCATTGCGTGTGAAAAAACTTGGTCATATACATATACCTCTTTAACAGAATCGTCTTATGGAAAATTAAAAGTCCAACAAAAATAACATGCAAAAAAACCCAAATGATACCAATTTGTATTGAAAATTCAGAAAACTGAAAAAAGACGAGCATTATCAATACTTTGGTGTTAGAAAATTTGAATTCTTACCTGTTATCCTCAGTCTATTCTGTGAACAAAAATTAAACATCACATAAGATTGTAATATTGAGGCGACACCGTAGATATTCTGACATTTTATACATAAACATGTCGTTTTATATTGCAGTTTGACGAGTTATCCTACTATATCAGTTTATAATCAAATATTCATATTCATTTTGTTTTGCCCTAAACATTTATTATTATAGGGTCAGACTTTTATTAGTCTATATTGTTCTTTACTTATAATGGGAATTTTGAAAGAATTTTCATGTATTTTACAAAGGCGGTTTTACCATACGTTTTAATATAATATTTCCCGTTTGACCATTTTTCATTGGATAATAAATAATAACAGATTTCTTTGTGTCAGTTTTTAATGATCAATAGTAAAAACGTATGATTAGAAACAGACAAAGGTACAATAATGACATAATATTTCATTCATTAAAACACTTCAATCTTCACTTTGGGGTGAACAGTCTACATGTTCTTGAACCTGACAGACTAAATGAAATAATACATATTGGTAAATATGTCTATGGGCCAAAATATTTGCATTAAAACCTGCTTTTAGAAACATCCAACCACATGCTTTACGTGAGAAGATAAAAAAAAATAAAAAAAAATAATGAGGCGCTGATGAGAATGTTGCTCTTTGTATATTTTCCATTTTCTTCACACACATGTTCACATACACACACAACGAACGCGTGATTTATTTATACATTGATGATTGCTAAGACCCACAGTTACCCACTGGCTGATCCTTTGAAAAAATAAATTAACTGCAACAGAAATAAGAGGAATATGTTAAAACATGTTAAATGTGCTGGGGAGACCATGTAAAGATGTATTGAATCACCTTACTTATATGTTCACTTCCATTTGCTATTGGTTTATTTTAAATAGTCATTTTTCAGATTTGTTTGGATTCTGATTTGAACCAATAATTTTTCTCAGCTTATATTTCGGTCATTTATTAATTTTCATTAAAACCACATGCACTTCTTTTTTCTGTCGTCTCGATTATTACATGTCTACCAAAGAAGTAAACCATATATCAGTCATTGCCTAGTTTGATGAGTATAAGTAATACAGATTGGTCTCGAACTCTTCTTTTGCATCTGGAAATTAGAACACATGTATAGTCTGGAAAATTGCTTAATGTGGCACGGAGTATAAAGAGACCAGGGATATACGTAATAGTATGCATGATTGGTTGTTTGATTGATTATCTTTATTTCCTCCATATATATATATAAAGATTTTTACAATTCATATTATACGAACAACATCACAAACATTACATACACATATTTACATATTCTAAAGAACATCTACAAGAAAGGATATATATTGGTACATAATTATAGGAAATACATTACAAAAAGTCTATTCGTCATACAATGACAACATTAGTTTAGATCAAATATGTGACAATATAGATCATATTTGAAGACCTGGTATAGTTTAAACATATAATCTGCTATGTGGCACATCAAGAGGTTCACGCATTTAGAGTTTGCATGGTATGGTTCATACTTCAAAGTAACGACTCTACAATTTCGTCATCCTGATTAACGAAACTAACTAATCTTCTACGTCAAGTACATCAACTATCTTGTAGAACATTTCTGTCCGAATTTGCAAAAGTAAAATGCTAAAGTATATCCGTATTAAAAAAGTTGCACAAGGAACACTTGCCTGTTTAAATAGCTATAGCCTCTTATACCACAACCGATGGATTAGTTATCATATGGTCACTTTTATAAATTTCCTGTTAGAATACTTTGAATTTTTCGAAACACTAAGGATTTTCTTATCCCATGAATAGTAGTGGATTACCTTAGCCGTATTTGGCACAACTTTTTTTGGAATTTTGGGTCCTCAATGCTCTTCAACTTTGTACTTGTTTGGCTTTATAACTATTTTGATCTGAGCGTCACTGATGAGTCTTATGTAGACGAAACGCGCGTCTGGCGTATTAAATTATAATCCTGGTACCTTTGATAATTATTTACGCCACTGGGTCGATGCCACTGCTGGTGGACGTTTCGTCCCCGAGGGTATCACCAGCCCAGTAGTCAGCACTTCGGTGTTGACATGAATATCAATTATATGGTCATTTTTATAAATTTCCTGTTACAAAACTTTGAATTTTTCGAAACACTAAGGATTTTCTTATCCCATGAATAGATTACCTTAGCCGTATTTGGCACAACTTTTTGGAATTTTGGGTCCTCAATGCTCTTCAACTTTGTACTTGTTTGGCTTTATAACTATTTTGATCTGAGCGTCACTGATGAGTCTTATGTAGACGAAACGCGCGTCTGGCGTATTAAATTATAATCCTGGTACCTTTGATAATTATTTACGCCACTGGGTCGATGCCACTGCTGGTGGACGTTTCGTCCCCGAGGGTATTACCAGCCCAGTAGTCAGCACTTCGGTGTTGACATGAATATCAATTATATGGTCATTTTTATAAATTTCCTGTTACAAAACTTTGAATTTTTCGAAACACTAAGGATTTTCTTATCCCATGAAAAGATTACCTTAGCCGTATTTGGCACAACTTTTTGGAATTTTGGGTCCTCAATGCTCTTCAACTTTGTACTTGTTTGGCTTTATAACTATTTTGATCTGAGCGTCACTGATGAGTCTTATGTAGACGAAACGCGCGTCTGGCGTATTAAATTATAATCCTGGTACCTTTGATAATTATTTACTGTTAGTCGTAACAAACGATGCTCCATCAAACATGTTTTTTATAGTACCGCTTAAGTTGTGGTCGCCGTTCAATTGTCCTGATTTTGCCCATTATGGTCCTCTATTGGAAATAAAATGTATCTTATCTTATCTTATCTTAAAGCAACCTTATAACACAACAAAACCAGAGAGGCATCTAGAAAAAAAACTTGAATGTGCATATGTATGTGTATATTACAATAATATTAGTTTGGATGTAATTTACTGATAACAAAATCAATATTTATACCAATAAAAACAGTATTTAAAGATCTAATATCAGTGTTGAATTGGTAACCTTTTAGGAAAGGTTTATTTAAAGGATCGATTAGTTTACCCGGATGATATCTAAATTTCCGGGCTCGCTAAACAACATCTCCGTAAAAATTATGATGTGTTATCCCGTTTGAAATAAGTGTTCTACAGGTACAGCCAAACTCACTGACCAAATCTTTGTATCTTTGTAAGAATTGAGTAAAGGTTTTAAGTAATTCGTGGTAACGAAATCCATGTCTTAATAATTTACCATTAATACATAGATTACGTTCATTGAAATCCAAAACGTCACTACATACATGGGCATAGCGAACGAGTTGTGATATATAAACACCGTAAGATGGTACCAAAGGAACATCACCATCCAAAAAAAGGAAAATTAACAATAAGAAAAGACAAATCGTCCCTTTTGTCGTAAATTTTAGTATAGAGCTTCTCGTGTAAATCTGAAATATCTAAATTTATGAAACGACAGTTATTACCGTTTATATTTGATTTATTCAAAGTAAGTTCCTTTTGGTAAATTTCGGCAGTACATTTAGAAAATTCTTAATTATCTAACGAAAAAGTATCATCAAGATAACGACAATTGTTGTTGAATTTATCAATTAAATGCAATTTAGACGGGTCTTTACTAAGTTTGGTCATAAACTGTATTTCATAACAATACAACAAGTTTGCTATTAAAGGTGCGCAATTGGTGCCCATAGGAATATCTTCAACCTGTCGATACACTTTATTGCCGTAACGTAAATAAATGTTATCAAGTAGAAAAAATAACCGCTTCAATCATCTCATTATACCTCCAGTACGTATATGTATCATATATACCTTTCTCGTTAGAGAAGAAGGCTTTAGATGAGTTGCAGCAAATATAATTACAATTAGATGTTTGAAATAATCATTTAATTAATTAGAAAAACTTTTGTTTGATAAGATTGTGTGGAAGTGTAGTGTAAAGAGTTGAAAAGTAAAAACTATCAGCTGACTCAAAAGGACCGTCAAAAGCACGCAATTTATCAATCTATTTTAGACGGAGGACGATATTTTGGTACATTTTTCAAAAGGTTTTTAAAAATCTCGGTCTTGAACGATATTGAGATCCCTCGTAATAACATGCATGGCCATAGGAATCATATCTAAAATTCGACAATTCACAATCACAAGTTAGCTGGGTATTATTTCTACACTGACGTATAATTAAAAATGAAACTTCTGCTGGTTTTTTTGTGTGTATACGAAATAATAGGTGGTTCTGTGTTATCAAAAAAGGAGGTATAACGTTTTGAATGGTAGATTCATTAAATATACTAGATAAGTTGATAAAATTAATACCTCTGTTAATATAATATATAATATATATATATATATATTTAAGTTTCAGAAAATGCCGTTTATGATCTTCAGGTATATCGATACGCGGGAACATTCTATGGTCACAAAAATCTGTATTTATACGCGTACCTTCATAGAGTGGGCTGAGAAACGAATTTGTGTCACCCTCCTTGAAAATATTATGTAATTTACTAATTCGTATTTGACCACGTTTGCATAATAGTTGATGACTACCATTGTTTATTTTTTAATATAGATAGGAGATTGTCAAGTGTATAATTTATATATATATACGATGTTTAATTCGTTGATTTCGATTGATATGTTTGCCATGAGATCTATTATTACGTTGTCTTTTATCATCAATTTTCATGATAACAATAGAAGAAGTTTGAGATATGTTCCCTTGTTTCATGATATTGCCCTTTAGACCTAGGGAATATGCTGTCTGCTGCAGTCGTATAATCCAAGACAGTTCGATAATTTTACGGGAATCTTCAAATTGTTTATGGGATTGCCCTTGTTGCTTCTGGATCTTTTCGAGTGGTTGGAATTTTATAAATTTGATATTGTGATTGTGCTTTCCTAAATGTAGGTAAATTATACTTTTGAATTTCTTAGAGTAATTATTGTCCTTAAATGACAATTTTTACCTTTTTTGCTTTATAGCTTTTAAACTATAACTGATAGAGAGAACCTTAAAACAGCAAAAATTATCATCTAGACAAGATCTTCAAATAAGTCATATAGCCAAAAATATCAGTCGACTCCTTATAGGAGTAATCAGCCTTTAATGACGAATTTTAACCATTTTTGCATTTTGGTGAAGACTGTAAAAAAAAAGAGAGAAACTATAAACATCTTAAATGATCAGCGAAGTATTATCTGCAAAAAAAGTCAACACAACTTAAATCGACAATGACTCCTTTTTGAGTTATAAATGAACGAATGTTACCAATGTTTCACTAACTTGAATAGATAGACAGAAAGTGTAATGAATAAAATGATCACTGAAATATAAGATGATGATCTGCATATAGGCTACAACGACTTAACTCAATTGTGGTAGAAAAAAGTCAACACAACTGAAATCGACAATGACTCTTTATTGGAGTTATAAATGAACGAATATTACCAATATTTCAGTAACTTGAAAAGATAGAGACAGAAAGTGTAATGAATAAAATGATCACTGCAATACAAGATCTGCATATAGGCAACAACAACTTAACTCAATTGTGGTAGACAATGAGATGGTAAATAGTACACATGACCAACAAGACAAGATCTCTAAAGGTCAAACATAACCAAAATCATTAATCGACTCCTCATATGTGTTATTATCCATTTTTGCGTTTTTTGGCTCTTATGTAAAAAAAAAAAAAACATAAATAACTGAATCTTGGTCTTAATATTCCATATAGCTAGAGTACCTGGTAAGCGATTCAGGCTCTTTAAAGCCTCTATTTTTAGTTCTCAACTCTGACCTTTTTGATTCTTGATCAGTAGAACAACAGCAAGTCCATTAAAATGTCTTATCCCGAAACGTTTGAATTGTTGGACTTGTTTTAACAATATATTTATGTGCTCTACGCGTAGTTATTTTTAGTCGCGTAGTACCTAGGGTAAGAACCGATTTGGATTTCGCGGGTAGTATATAAGAAAAGGATCACGTTTTTTCAGTTATCGAGGTTAGGCGGTGACCACGTTGATTACTACTACAGTGTAGACATATTTACAGTAGTGTAGAATTGTAATGTAGTTCAGAGATCAATTGGATGTGTACTAATTATGATATTTGTTTATTTTTAGATACTCTGTAAGGCCAGTGTACCATAAAAAATTTTATTTAGTGGACGTTACGTTTTTGCATTCAGTGAATCCAATGTTTTTGTGGACAGTGAAATGACGATTTAGCTTGTATAATGTTTAATAAAATGACATGGTCACCGTGCTGGACAAAATGACATGGTCACCGTGCTGGACAAAATCAGAAATGTGTTTCTTATTTTATACCAATAATGATATAGTATACAGTTTGGGTTTGAAGTAGGTTTCACAAAATAAGTAGCGATGTGCACATAAATACTTTATGTTTGTTTGAACAGGTGAATTAGAACATAAACATACATACTACAAGTACACTTCTGATAAATAGTTTCAAAATCCTAATCATATTTTTTTTTATAATTTTCATACAGTTATAGTTCATTTCTTCACATACATAACTCTCTGTCTAGTGCTTTTTTCTCTGCTTCTAACCAGGACATCCCTATCTCCTTCAAATCAATTTACAGTTTTTCGCCGTGTTTCTTTTTGTCTTCCCCTTTCTTCTTTCCAGTCAGATATCAACAAAAGGAATGTGGAGTTCATCTCAGTGACGCTCTTCTACAGTTTGTTCGTTCTTTCCTAAAGACCTGGGGCCAGTTTCACGAAGCTGTCTTAGGACTAAGACATGTCTTAGGATGGTCTTACGACATATCTTAGTCCTAAGTGGGTTTCACGAAGTGGTCATAACTTAGGACATCTCTTAAAGTTGGTCTTAAAGTTAGGACTACACGAGAGGTGTCTTATGATGGTCTTAGGATAGTCCTAAGTTAAGACATCGTTACGATGTCCTAACATGAGTTGTAAACAAATATGGTGGCTCTAGTTTTCATGCACCTCAGACGACAACATCAAAACATACGCAGAAATAGAATTTTCCGAGACCCTGACAACCCTTTGGATTACCTAGATGACACAGAAATAGTAAGAAAATACAGACTATCACGTCCTATGATAATAGATATTTGCAGATTGTTTGAATTTGATCTTCAAAGACCAACGAGGAGATCTCGCGCTTTCCCTGTCTCTTTACAAGTCATGGTTGCTTTGAGATTTTTTGCAACTGGGAGTTTTCAGCTCGTCAACGCCGACGTACACAATATTTCAATCTCAAGTGTTTCAAGAATTACCCGGGATGTGACAATGTGTTTGAAAAGAGTATGCAGCCAATACATTAAGATGCCAACTGATCGAGCACAGCTGCATAACACGATGGAAGGCTTTTACAGCATTGATGACTTCCCAAATATCGTCGGAGCAATAGACGGGACGCACATTAGAATAAAATCTCCATTAGAAGATGAATATTTATATGTGAACAGAAAAAACTACCACTCTATTAATGTTCAAGGAGTTTGTGACTCTAACATGAAATTTCTAAACATTGTAGCTAAATGGCCAGGTGCAACTCACGACGCCTTCATTTGGGCTAATTCTAGCTTGAGTAAAATGTTTGAGGACGGAACAATTGATCATGCATGGATGGCTGATAGGAGATAGTGGGTATCCACTTCGACCATGGCTTCTCACTCCTGTGCTTAACCCAACAACGAGAAATCAACAAAGATACAATGCTTCCCATATGAAGACGAGGAGCGTTGTCGAAAGGAGTTTTGGAGTCTTAAAATCACGTTTCCGTTGCATAGATGCAAGTGCTGGCACATTGCTTTACAGACCATTAAAATGCTGTGACATTTTTATTGCTGTTGCTGTTTTACATAATATGTGTATAGCAAATAGAATCCCATTGCCGGCAGACATTGACCGAAATCGCCCAGACCAAGGACACATAGACACATAGACAGACAACAGTATGTCGGGCATTTGAATGATGGTTCAAATGTTAGAAACAGGCTGATAAATGAAAGATTTGGACATTGAATAAATTGTATCATCCAATTACTTTTTAATATTGTATTTTTTATCATTACAACTACCAGATATTTATTAACTCCTCTACTCTTTGTGCAAAAAGTTTATTAATAGTTCAATGCTTAGGTTGACAGCTTTGAAAAAACCCACTATAGACTCGCTTATTACATTAATTGACACTTATCAAGGTGGCTTTTCAGGTTCATATAACCTTTTATAACATTCATCTGCAGTTTTTACCAATGAAAATGAGGAACCAATATTTTCTTAATAATGCCTGTGAACACACAAGTTATCATATATTTGCATAATTTATAATGTTTTTTTTCTCACAAAATTGTAAAAATGGTTTTACTGATGATGCCTTTTCTTATGTACATGTAAGGGATAAAAATATCCCCAAATTTCACATCCATATAAAAGTATGCCCTTTATTGTGTGATCAATACACGATTTTCAGTTTAAACAGTAGCAGTAAATAAGGTTATGTACTATTACGTTATAGAGTTTGAATTAAGCTTCTGAGCACATGAAAATGAGCTGGTGTATTAAACTGGACATCCAAATGTTCATGAATATATACAAACACTACTAGTAACTGATCTTTGTCAAATATAAATTTATGAGAGATATTTCTGCAAGCCTTTTTTAATAACAGTAGTTTAGTCTTCTCAGAATTTATATGGAAGCACTAATCATTACTTATTTAATTTCTCTTGTAGACCTTCTGCTGATTAAGATAAAATTAAAATGTCAAAAGCATACACGAGGCAAGGAATGTGTTTTTCATCTAGGATAATTACATATTTAATCTCTGGTTTATCCAACATAAACTGGAAGGCTATTAATAAATATTTTGAACAAGTTAGGACTTAAATTATCTCCTTGTTATACACCAATCTTGATTTGAAAGAGTTCAGTTCTTTTTTATCTTGTATTCTAATACATGATTTAGTTTCATGATACAATTTCTTAATCTTTATAATCTTAATAAAACTGTAAAACCGTGAACTAAACCCATTTATCAAAAGCTTTATAAAAATCAACATTACTAGCTAACATTCTCCCATCTTAAGTATTGCAGTACTGATCAATAATGCATTTTAAAATAAATGATATAGTTAGATGTTTTTGCTTTTCTGATAAAACTTATCGGACAATCATAATTACGTGTAACCGAGTTTCTACCATGGGAGTATATACTAGTATTCAACTATTTTACTTCCATGGTTATACTACTTATATAGTTAAGTATACAGTTAAAGAGATTGCTTATTGCATTAGTGGTTGTGAGTCCTCTATAATAACTCGCAACTCGATACTCGACAAAAAAAACCCTCACAATTATAACGGTCTGTGATATCACAAGACTAGTGTATGACTGTACATAATGCAACCTTCAGTCCAGTTTCGAGGGTATAATTAATCTAAGAAGGAGACAATATTTCAATATCTATGGAAGAGATAGTAGTAAAATTGTCTGACTATGTTTAATCATATTGTTTGAAATGGTATCCAAGCCTGGTGGTTTGTAACCTTGTAGCTTAAAATGGCAAATGAAATTCCTTTCTGTTATTAGTTTATCAAAATATTTAAACATTTTTTTCCCAAGATCAGCAAATTAATTTCCCAAATTGGTCATTCATTCTTTGAACGAATCATGTATTTGATTTAATCCGTTGAAATGAGATACCCAAGTTGATGGTTCAACAGCACAACTATGAACCCTACGATAATTAATTCTCAAATCATTAATTAATTTCCTATAAATTAAAAATCATCATAATGTTGTTGTGATTGTGATTCAGGGACTACCATCTTTCTTTCTAGTTGTATTTTTTTTTGTGTATAAGTATTCCTATGCTTTTGGTTTGGAAGTGTGTCTACAGTGAACCTACACTTGATTTCTGTTCATTCATTGAGGTATACATTTGTGTAAATTATTCAGATTTAACTTCATATTTTACCAATATGCTTTTCTGTATAATGGTATAATCCTCTGTTTTTAATAGATTTCCGAGAGTTGAGATTAACTTTTGCGAAAAACGATGTCATGATCTGAGAGTCCGGATATGGTTTCAACTCTCCTGAAGATATCTGGACGGTTTATTACCACAAGGTCAAGAGAATTCGGTTCTCTGATTGGTTTATTCACCAGTTGTGACATCCAATAATCATCCAATATGTCAACATACCTTTCATGATTGGTTACACATTGAGTGAGCAGCCTAGTGTCTTTGCTACACCAATCCCAGTCCGATAGGTTGAAGTTACCAGCTGAGATCATAAAGGCATTTCGTATTTTACTTGCACTTTCAATGCTGATTCCATATTCATTATATTCTTTTTAATTTGATGTTTTGTGATTTTAATAGATGGAGAGATAGAATGTGTATGCCCCACTATCTCAATCTTGCACCAAACAATCTTGCAGTCGGTTTGAAGTTCTTGTACCGATGAGGTTATGTATGTTTCATTGACAGCTATAAATACTCCCCCCTCCGCTTAGGTTCCGTCATATCTATACGTTTCAGACTACCAATTCAAAATCCCTATCTTTTCAACCATTTTTTTTTCAATTTTTACAGCTTTCTTAATACTTTACCTCAAGTTTAACTTCTAAAAAACAAGATATATCCTGAACTGCACATGTATCAGCATTCTACATACTAACTTTTAACGAATGTTTAAATCTTGTAGTGAAACATTACGTGCGGAAGGCAGCTAATACTTAATATAACACCTGATTTTCTGTAAATCTTAAATAAGTTATATATCATGAAGCCCATTAATCCTCAATTTTTTTATGCAATACTCAAAATGGTCTAAATAGATTTCTTCTTTACCAAAAGTTTCATTTCTGCAAATTTGTTGATTAGTTTAAGTGAACAATGACACCAAGCACTATTTTTGTCAGGGAAGGGATACCTTCACATATGTCTAATGTCTAATGTCATATGTTCTAAATTGGAGTAGGTGAATCGGTGGTCTGACAATTATAGCTATTAGCTATTATATAATACATCGTTCGGAGAATTTGGTGATTCTTCTTTTGATGAAAGCCAGGTCTCGGTTCCAAAAATTATATAGGTCTCGGTTCCAAGAATTATTTCTGGTTTTGTGATATCAATAAGATTTACCAATTCGCCTTGTTTGTTCCTTATATTCATTGGAAGTTGATTTAATACAAAAACAGTTTTAGGATTTGTATAATCTTGCTCCTTTTCTTTTGTGTTTCCGCCCTGGCGTTGAAGTGTGTAGTAGTTTATAACAGCAGATGTTTGGCTAATGATGAGCATATTTGACAATAGGCTAAGGGGGTGAGTTAAGCGTTCACAAACATGTTGAATCCGGAACATTGTTTATGTGTCTGTCCCAAGTCAGGAGCCTTTAATTCAGTGATTGTCTGTCATATTTGTTTTTCGTAAATTGGTGTGTTGAAAATTCTAATTCTATTTTTTTCACATTTTGTCATGTCGGGTCCTTAACTAGCGGATACTGCTATTTGTTGTAGTCCGTACGGTGACCATATTTGCTAACATCCACGTCATTTGGACTCTGGTGAAGGTGAATAGCTGTTTCATTGTCAACATATTTATTTTTTATATAAATTGATTTGAATTGCTGAATACTAAAGAATAGCAGAAGGTGAAGTAATTCAGGCAATTACACATGATGCAATCCCGGGCAATGGCTGTGTCATTTACAGGTTCTAAGTATGTCTTGGTTTGCATAGATTGACACCGGATGCGCTGTCATTGGTTGCGTGTATCGCATACTATACCTCTTGCTCGCAATGTTACTGGTTGGTCCCATGTACCGCATGGATACACAATAACATTTGTGTTTAAACATTCAGGTCCCGGATTTAGATTTACATTGTTTGTCATTCAGATTAATATCAGTGAAAGATAGGTAAGATGGTTTATCATTTTATGATATATTAATCTTCTCTCTTTCATTGATATGGTCATAATTATAAATGAACTGTTTACAAAACTTTAAATTTTTTTCGAAATACTAAGAATTTTCTAACCCCCCCCCCCAGGAATAGATTACCCGTAGCTGTATTTGGCAAAACTAAGGAATTTTGTGTCCTCAATGCTCTTCAACTTCGTATTTTATTTGGCCTTTTTATATATTTTTATATATTTCGAGCGTCACTGATGAGTCTTTAGTAGACTAGACGCACGTCTAGCGTTCAAAACTTCATGTATGATGAGTTTATTTACAACCACTGGGTCGATGCTACTGCTGGTGGAGTTTTCTCCCGATGGCACCACCAGCCCAGTAGTCAGCACGTCTGTGTTGACATGAATTATCATTGATATGGTCATAACTATAAATTAACTGTTTAGTTATACAAAACTTTGAATTTTTCGAAATACTAAGGATTTTCTACTCCAGGAATAGATTACCTTAGCTGTATTTGGTAAAACTTAAGAATTTAGGGTCCTCAATGCTCTTCAACTTTGTACTTAATTTGGCCTTTTTAACTTTTTTTTATTCGAGCGTCACTGCTGAGTCTTTTGTAGACGAAACGCGCGTCTTGCGTACAAAATTTCAATCGGGTATCTATGATGAGTTTATTATCATCATACTTAGTATTCCAGTTCCAATGTTGTCAATGGTGATGTATTGATGTAGATACATTATTGAAACCCTTTTTTATTATTTTTCCTTACATGTTGACATGATATAGAATTGGGTGACATGTCCACATCATCTGCCTCTCCCTCTCCTATAACGAGAATTATTTCTTGTTCCGCGAATTGGCGGGAGTTAAATATCCAAGATTAAGTTGTGGCCTATTTCATATAAGACAACTTTTTCTTTTAGGTTTACAAGTCATTTTTGAAGAAATTCTTCATTTGCCTGACCCTTGAAGTACATGTTGTTATACCAGAAGTTCATTACTCGGCCCTAATC